GAGAAGAGAAAAGGCCGGGAAAAAAAAGGAAAGGGGGGGGGGGGGGGGGGGGGACTGCTGCTACGCGCTTCGTTCGGTACATGGCTTGGAGGCCGGAAAGCGCTACGGAGATCATTTGGGGTACAAAACAGGCCCCTAGGAAGCGAGAGAAACCTCGAACGAGGGAGACCAATGCAAGAGCTGCGCGGCGACTTTGTGCTGGCCAGGCACGCAAACGCAAAGATCGCGAAAAGCCACAAGTTTCTTGGTCAGGACCGACAGAGCGGTGCGAGTCACCAAAACGTTGGCATGCACGGAGAGCATCGCATCCGTGCACGGTGAAGGAACAAGCGAGGGGCGCAGACGACTGTTGATCCTCGGACAGGACCGCCGACACACCGAAACCACGAAAACCCAGACACCAACAGAACCATCACGGGTTACATTCACCGCCACCACCTCACATTGCCACCACAACGAAAGATACCAAGACGGGTTGCAGCACACTCACACACACGGAACATGGAACGGTCGCGACACAAGGGCAACTCCATCGACCCAACACAACACCCAAAAACATCAACAAACACCAAACATCAAAAGTCCACGAGTGCGCTACAGCATCATATATTCCACGAAGAACCTTGTCGTTGAACTTCCACTGCTGCTTGGAGGTGGCGTACGCCGCCGTCACCGGGACAATGGCCGCCTCCTGAACCCTCGCCAGCCGTGCCGCCTTGGCCTCGAGCTCTTCTGCGAGCTCGGCGCACCGGAGCAAAGCCGCTCTTGGCGACGAGGACTTGGAGGCGGACGCCCGCTCCGCTTCGGCCACGAACTGTTTCGGAAAGACGACGACAAACAGGATAGAAGTGGGGTCGCACCAGGGGGTTTTCGGGTTGTTGCCCAAAAGGGAAATGCACAAGCTGGGGCGAGAAGAGACGCAGACGAACCCAACGCCCGCCCTCGCTAAGCGACAGGCTGGTCTCCCAGGGCGGTGTGACTCTACCCCGCTGCCGTAGCCCGTGCATGACTTCGGGATCGAAGCTCTCGAGATATTGCAAAGAACGTTTGCACAGCTGGGTTTGTCGATGGCGATCGGTCGATGGTGAGAGAGCTAAAGCAAGAATACTTCGCCATGCGCAACGAGTTCCCCAAAATCAGAAGCCCGACGTATGGTTTCCGTCCGGCCGAGAGGCGGGCGAAAAACATAATCTGCGTGTACCCCTGTGGGCCTCTGGTCCTGTAGCTGAAACGGGCAAATGTGTACAGAGAAAGGACTTTCTCCAGGCACGGACAACAACGTTTTCACGAGCACTCAACTACATAAAAAGGACAAGAACGCTAGGCACAGCAGCCAAGGACTGAACCAGAAAAAACGCGCCAGCTACATCGCCTGCACCCCCCCCAAAGCGTGCGAGTATCCATTTGATCACTTTTTTTCTCTGGACCGTGATACCACACGGTAGCAAACCTGCCCGATGTGCTGCCCTGTACGCAGGACCCCCTCCCTATTGAGCAAACTAGATAGAAGACTCTTTTTCGCTCTGCCCTAACCACATCGCAAACCTGGCATATCGTCTTCCTTTATCCCCACTACCCACTACCCTCCCTCTGAGCGACCAGTAGTTGGTCACTTTTATGCTCTGGACGATGTTACCAGACAACAAACCTGGCCGATCTTCTTCCCTATCCGCACGACCCCCTCCCTCTCCCGGTCGAACTCGCTCAGCGGAGGTAGCACCTCCTTTGGTACCAAGTCCCTCAGCCACGGGAAGAACAGACTCGTCTCCGTGTTGTGCAGCTTCGTCACACTGCACCAACAGCAGCGGCGGGGGGGGCGGGGGGCGGGGGAGGAGAGGCAAGAAAAACAAATGAGTTCGGCGAAACAGATGATGAGGCACCAACTCTTCGAACACAGGTAAAGTGAATCGCCGTCTGAAGGCACGCGTGCCTCGCTCGCCCTGTCGATGCGACGCAGGCGGGCAAGCAAGCAGCCATTTGTTTTAGGCGCGAAACTTCCCTAACCCTCGTGGGAGCCTCCCGACAGACCCTTCTCTCTTGAATCGTAGCCCGCATTGGCGACAACGTCAAGCTCAAGTCCGCAAAGCAAACAGACACATCCGCACACCACACCACACCAGCCAAATCGCGACACATGAAATATCCAAATCCGAATCACATATAACACAGCAGACAGACGTGTTCTGGGCAATAGGTCGTTTTCCAAAAGAGGTACCAGTATGCTGCAAGGGCAACGAAGGGTGCGTCGGTCGCTTGCCCTCTACAGGACGGAGACCATCCCCTTTTCGCCCCCCGCCCCTTGCGTGTGGTGTCGTTTCAGGCAGACAGAAGACCATGGCGCCATGCGGAACGACCATCGAGGAACAAAGGAGAACGCCCCCTCTAGGCCAGCACCATGGGAAAACATCCCTGCTGCGCTAGACTTGTACGCCGAAATGTATGGTTTTCTGCCTGAGATTGCCATCGTTCACGTCGGCCCTTAGGCACCACCGAAGCAATAGAACAAGATGACGCCCTTTTCAGGCCGTGTCTGAGCCTCTTCTTCTGACGGCTTTCATGGAATCACATTCCAGTGCATTGTATCGAGACACAACAACTCAGACACAAAACAAACCCAGCAACAAACAATAAGTCGACTCAAAACGGCCGTATTCACGAGTGTGAGACAGCAGAAACTTCGAAACAAGCCTTGCCCTAACCTGAACGTCCACATGAAGCCATAGCACTTGGCCACCCGCTCCACCGCCGCCGCGCCCTTCTCACCCCCCCCGTCCGCCCCACCGGTTGCCTCCGCAGCCAGCAACGCCGCTCGTCGAAACCGCGCGATGTCGCGCAAAACAGCCCGAGAGTGCCATCGCCACCTTCGCGGACGGTGTTGTTCGGAGGTATAGGGGGAGGGGTGGGTGTACACGTTTCGCATGCCTCAGCGGTTAGAATACCACGCGTTCTCGGGAGAAAGGGGGGGGGGTGTTCAAAAGTAAACGCATGCCATATTCGGTAGACCGTAGACCTCGCATCCAATTGCATTCAATGCCGGGACGGAGCGACATGCAGGGCCAATGCCCGCCCCGGCTACCAGCTAGGGGGGCAGGGAGGGGGCGTTGTGCGAAAAGAACGCACCCAAGCGAGGGCGTCCGGCGAGAGCGAGCGAGACAGGAAGTCGAAAACAGCGGCTGCACCGCCGCGGCGTGGCTGGCCTAGACCGCCAAGCTATCGGTGCGCGCCCTCTTTCCATCGAAGGACACGAGCGGCAACGGAGGGAAACGAAGCCACAAAACAAAAAACTCTCGGGAGGAAAACTCTTTCAACTGCAAGCAGAACACATACCAACAATCACCTCTTGAATTTTCGAGACCGAGCGCCGCAAACACAACAACATTTTTTTCGGAAGAAGATGGACAGACATTCCTCTCCCCGTTTTCTGCCCTCTCACCCGTTGACGTGAAAACCTCTCTCGTCCACCGGCACGGGAGCGTCGTCGAAGCACTTCGCGTCCATGCTTGTGTCCGGCACCATTGACATTACCTGGAGCACGAACAAAAGTGGAAAGGGAGCCAAGAACGGGACAATGTCGCATACAAGACGCACAGCCGAATTATGCCTTGGTATTGTGGATAGTACTCAAGGGACGGTGGCACCACGGCGGGTGGCAGTCGAGTCCTGGAAGAAGAGAGAGCGTTTCGACGTCCAACCGATCACACTAGTTTGAGGCGCGTGTCGACCGGTAGTCAAGTGAAACCACGTTCGCTGGCGCCCGCTACAGATGTAGCGAGCTGGCACATTTCTCCCGTTCGAAAAAACGATCGACACCCTGCGCGGGTGTACCGTGTAGACCAGAGTTTCGCCAAGGTACCCACGAATGATGCATGACAACAAGAATGAGCAAGTGGAAAGATTGGTGATGCGACTCGTTGGCATTTCATAGACGTGGCGGGATTTGGTCCTTTAAAGTATCGAACGCGAGATTCTTGGGAAAACAGGCTGGGCAACGCCACACCAGCGCGGGACAGATACAAGCTCTGGACAAGTGTCTGCCAGCATGCTGGTGCTTCATTTACAGCAGTTGCAGTTGGAATGCGGGGTGCGTGTGAAACGAGAAAACAACCTCGCTTTCTCGTCATCGCAATTGAATCGCCCAGACGTCAAACCGGTAGACGGCGGCACCATGCACTGCCTGTGGGCGCGGCGTGAGTCGACAAACGGGAAAGGTAAGAAGGTACAGGTTGGACTTACTCCCCCCGAAAGTGCACGGCCAGTCTACGCTTAACCCTCCTAGTACTGGACGCCAAAAGGGGGAAACATTGGGGGGACAGCACTGAATTGCCTATTTACCGCACCGTAGTCGCCCACTGCTCCGCCGTGTGAAACACACGTAAGAACCCTTGGTCTATCATGCTTGGGTGAGGTGGTACGCTGTGTGAATGCTGTGTGATGCCTCTCCTCGGCCTCTGACATGCTGTATTGTACACAATCCACCAATCTGCGTGTCCCCTGGGTGGTAAAACTGTACCCAGCCTGGTACTGGAAAAAAATGATGAATTGTCTTCAGTATGAAAAGTGTCGCCACGTGTTGTAGGGACACTTTTCATACTGATGCCAAGTCACCCTTGTCTGGCAAGGAGCTCAGATTCTTTGAGGGACTGTAGCCCCTCGGCCAGTGCTTTTGTGATTGTTTTCTTGCGGAGGGACTGCGCAATAGGAGGGTTAAATCATCTCTGACCCGACTTGTACTACTGTTTCCGTGATATGCTGATGACTCGCGCTGTATTGTGTCGTTGACTCCTAAATGTGGAATGATGAGCATACTGCATGCTTACGCCCGTGGCAATTTCGTCCTTGAAACCATTCAATATGTCCTGCGATACTCTCCGCTCCCGCAAAAACGACTAACCGAACACGACATTTCAAGTATCGAGACTAATCAACAATACCCGACACTTTTCTGCTTGGAGCTGTCGAAGCAGGACACGAGAAACGCGCTTGTAGAATGACGCGGGAGGGGAGAAAAAATGCGCGGTCCAATTACAGTACAATGTACCATGCATGCACATTTCGGGCAGGATCTGCACCGGCACAACGTTACAATCATGCGCACAGAAAGTGGTTTTCTTACGCATATGCTTCAGCAAGGTCGAAGTTCTACCGCGCCGAACGCAACCGGCGGGGTGTGCGTACCCTTGCTCTTGTGGGTACAGCCAGCGAGAGGCCTGAGGCACCGGAGGCCTCATAGCCGCGTGCGAGTCAATCCACTTCTGTGCGCCCACAACACACCAGCAGAGGCAATGCATCTCGCCGACTCTTGTTACAAAAAAAACGAAAGCAGCCAGCGAGAGGTACACGTTCTTTTTTTGTTGGCACTTCACACACACACCTACCTGCATTTGCACCCTCCGTTTCCCATCGCGCACGCGTTCTTTCAGCCAAGACGCCGCCGCAAACGGCGAGCCCTTCGCGCTTCCGGTTGCCCCGCTCCCGCCCCCATCCTGCAGCCCCTTTGCCCCGCTCGATCCTGCTGATGCCAAGTCAGCGGCAGCAACTCCGCGCGTGCCGGCGGTAGACCTCCCCGTGGGTAGGCCGCCGAGGCCACCGGCGAAGCCGTAGAAGCTTGGTGTCATTGCGAGGATGACCACCGACCACAGCACCGTGGGAGTCAGCAGTGTCCAGCGCCTGGGCCCTCCGCGGCATGGACGACGGCCCCTTGACATCACCATGTCGCCGTCGTCGCCGTCGTGTATGACTCGTGAGTTGCTGCTGCTGCTGCTGCTGCCTCCTTCTACCACTGCTGCGTCTTCCCGTTGCATGCGGCAGAGACGATGCCAGCGGTAAGTCCAAGGAAGCGTCGAATGCAGTAGAAACAAAGCGACAGGTAGACACGTCCAGATCGTTGCTGCTTGAACGCGTGGACGGAGTCGGGGAGCACTACCCAGCTACCCAGCGCCCAAGCTCGAGAGGGGGCACCGCGGAATGCTCGCGTTTGAGGTTGCGCCGCGTTTTGCGACAATTGCATCCTGTGTGCTGTGCGCCGTTTGGTTTGGGTGTTCGCTTACAACGTACGACCTCCTTGTGTGGCTTTTCCCGCTGACGTTAACTATGTGTAGAGCCTCTGTGGTCAATGCGATCACCACTGTTCTAGCTGCAGCGTGCGTTTTGCGATCAGCAGCATTCGTGGATGTCGCGCCAGCATGTTTTTCGCCAAGCTCGCCGCTGCTTGCTCGCTCCTCCGTGAGCGGGCTCCCGCCTTCCTTAGGAAGAAGCGTTAGCAACGATGAAGGGTACCCCGCAGGGAGCTCACGATGGGACGGACACTCTCGGTGAGTGAAGCAGTTGGTTGGTACCCCGTGGCGCTATTCTGAGACGGACCGTTAGAGAGAGCGACCGTGTTGGTATATCATGTGTCGAGAGGCAACTCTCGTGTGCTTGGCGAGCGAGGGACGAGGGACATCGGAGTCGAAAGGTGCTGTAGAGACGCACGCCAGAGTTGGAGCCACGAACGAGAGAAATCCATGGCAGTGAACGATATCGTGCATGAAGTTATGGTATCGAAACGTCGGGTTGCTTTGTGCAAATAATGCGTGGCATCGCACGCAGCTGTCGCGATCCGGTGCTGCTACTGCTCGTGGTGTTGCCCGGCTCCTGCACATGGGTGTGCTGTTGCATCATCGCCAACGGGGACGCTCACTCCGGCGGGCATCCACAGCAATTTCAGTCACAAGCTTCCGGCGCAGCTAAAGCTTGTTTCATCTGCACCATCCTGAGGTGCTGTACTTAAAGTCGGGCTGCTTTTGCTTGCCTTTTCCGTCTTTCCCGTGTGTCGTGCCAGACGCAGCAGCCGGCTCTTAGCTGAGACGAACGGAATCTATCCCGACGGCGTGCCCAACCTGCCAGGAATAAAGGTGGAGCAGATTTGTATTGAGGGTTGCCTTGCATCAGCATGATCAAACCGGCATTCCTCCTGTCTGTCTGTCTGTCTGTCTGTCTCTCTCTCTCTCTCTCTCTCTCTCTCTCGGTCGTGCCATCTCCCCGCCGCTTCGTCTCTGTCTTTGTCATCTTGTGTTTTTTCATAAATGAAGTCACGACCTACAGCAGTATGCAAAGAAAAAATGCAGGAGTACGCTTCGGTCGTGATGGAGGCGGATGCGCGAGGCTCGGAATTGCCGCAGTCCCTCGCCGCTGATCATCCCGTTTCATTATGGACATGCATAGGATTTCAGAATATCGAGTCTAGATACCGTCCCCAGATTTTGTGGGCGGTCCCCCCACCCAAGCTTCAGCCTCCATTTGAAATTTCTCCAATGAAGCGCCCCTCCAGAAATCTGCTTCCATTTCCAACCCCTGCACACATCTGTCACGAACCAGATTTTTTCTCTGGGTTATTCGAAATCGAGCATAATGGTTGTGTCTCTTACCGACTCCCTGCTCACCTGCTTGTGTGCACCGCATGCTGCTTGCAATAAATCCCAGACGATAGTAGAGACCGAAGAAGAGGAGGAGCAGAGAGCCGTCCGCGAGTGGCAGGACGACGGCAGGAAAGGGAGGGTGCTGGTTAGACGAAGTGAGTCATTCGCGAGAGTGCTCCTGCGCGGCATGATGCCGCCAACACCAACGCACGTTTTGAATGTTTTTTCAATTCAAGACAGCACGGTACGCACAACAGAGGCTGATCACCAACGTGTTCTATGTCATGTTTTTTTTCGGTGGAGCGGGTATGTTGGTGGAGGAGAGCTTGGGGGGTGTTCTCCTCTCTTTGTGCGTTGTCGAAGGGTGCGGTCGATATCCTTTGCCGTAGTTCCCTTTTTTTCGTACCCTGGCACAGCCCCGCGCCTCTGCCCTCCCGAAAGAAACGCGCTGGCAAGACGAAAAAGATTACGTATGCACTCGTATCTCGTATCACCCCGCTGGAGAACATCTCTAGGTGTAGAGGAGCAGGCGACTTGCACCATTTGCTCATGACGGACAATCTAAGGAAACTTGCTCGTTTCGTACTGAGGCCTCGACTCCCGCCTCCTACGCTCCGTGTACTTGCAGAAGAAATACCTTCGCCTGCGATGGACCCAGCCTCCGTATGCCAGCTCGTCTTCGAGTCCCTGCAGGTGCGCATCCTTACCCAACGGGTTCAGGACTCGTCGGCTTTTTTTTGTTGGTGATGTTCCCGTACTTGTGTACAGGGACGTTGTCTGGCATGTCATCCATAGTCGCCTCGCCTTCTTTCGATCTTGCTGTTTGATTTTGTGCTCTTGTGTTTCGCGCTCTCATCAACGCCAAACTCTTGTGTGTTTTACGCTCTCACAATTGCGTGTCAGAACAACGATGACCCGATGTTAGACTACGGCGCGGCCGTGGCGGTGAAGTTCGCGTCTTCCAAGAGTGCCGTCAGGAACATGACCCCCGCCGAGTATGGGGCCTTTCTGCGGAATGATCCCGACCAGGTCTTGCTCGTGGACAACGCTTCTTGTGCGCCGGCCGAGCGAGCCAAGGTACGGAGCGGAAACATGTGGTCTCTTTGTTCGTGAAAACGTTTTCGTTATATGTATATCGAACTTGTGTCTACAGTATTGAGCACGTGTCCGTTTTTAGTATGGTTTTATTTGAATATATTTCATACTTTTCAGCCGGGCTATTGTCGATATCTGCTGAGTACCCCTGCACGCTTGGCTTGTTGGGGGCTTTCCCCGTACACTCTTTCTGTCCTGTCGCCGAGTAGGCCAGAGTGCAAGGTTTGTTGGTAGGGTCTGTTGATCTTGTCCTGAACCTGTCCACACACGGATGTGGTACCACTGCTGCTCTCGAAACGTGGTTGAATTTCACACAGCTTGCTCCGGTTTAATGTTTGCATTTTTTTGCAGAAAACGCACTTGAGTGACAGCTACCTTTAGGAACGATGATGAATCCCGCACCTTAAAGGGTTTGATTCTGTTGATTAGCCTGAACATGTTGATGGATTCACGGCGGATGATGCGAAACATGTGTGGCTCTCCCTGGGCCTGTTGGCAACCGGTATTGCGGGCATCACTGATCACATCGTTCCCAAAAGGTTCATACCGTCAACATGATTTTTCTCGTTTTCGATGTTGTGGCCACTCATTTTCGACGTGATGAAGTCAATCCTAGATGTACTCGGACGTGTTTCATCCTTGCCTTGCCGTCCCAACACGAACCGAACGGGTGCCACAGGTGTCCGCCGACGGGAAACAGGTCCTTCAGAAGGTGGAGGTGGTCGGGAGGTACCCCGACGTCGTCAGGAGAATAGTCGAGGTGCAGCTCACCAAGGAAGAGGACGATTGCTGGAGAGTAGATGCCATGACCTTCGGCCCCAATGTTGAACAAAGAAAATAAAGTAGTCACACACACCCCTGCGCGTGTGTCGTAAGTAAAAAGGGGTGGCCTGGACAGGCTTGGAGGAGCGAGCTCCGTGGCAAATGAAATCCGGAATCCTCTCATGCAGAAATATATGACTCCATCTCTATTGCTGCCCACTACGGTCTCAAGTCCCTGGCGGTCAATCCCCGTAGTAGTCACGGATTGCACCGTCACAGTTGGCCGAGAAAGTGTTGGTGCTCAAAATGGCGTCGTTGTCCTGCAAGTGGTAACGGGCCGGTCCTTTCCCAATGCCCCTGCTCACCGGTTCGAAAAAAAGTGAGTGAAGAGAGAAAGAGCAAGCGAGCGAGAGAGAGAGAGAGAGAGAGAGAGAGACAGACAGAGAGAGAGAGAGAGAGAGAGAGAGAGAGAGAGAGAGAGAGCGAAATTCCCGGCGGGGGTCGTCATGATTTCGAGCTGGATCACCATGGTAGGCGGCGTTGGCGAGTGATACTCATCAATGCCTTCACAGAAGTCCAAAATTGACGGCGAGGTTATTTGGCATACGCAACACATCACGAACCGTTGCGATGACGATCCGCACACTGTTTCAAATCAAATATCCTCCCGCACGACCAGTATCTGGATCGGTCCCCAACGTACGGCATACTCTCGCATGGACCAACTCTGGTTTCTATAGTAGTCACTCCGTATAGGCCACCCACACTGGCCGCCGTGGGCAAGTATCCGTCACAAACATGGCGCTTCGCCCCAAGCACAACCATTGAGTGCATACGAAGCAGGGCCGTCTCGCGGGCGCTTGCCATCCACCACTCTTGATCCAAACTTGATGTGCACTACTGCACCTTGTGTGCCTGCAGCGCTGTAGTCGCCTCGGCGACTCTCCTTTTTTCCCGTTTCTTCCTGTTCCACCACTTCACTATGTGAACCAAGTTTTCTCCGGAAGTTTCGCCTAGTCCCCACGTTCAACAGCGACAGGCGACCTGTTTGCTCGGGTAGAAATCACTCGCGAAGTGTGGACGTCTGCAGCGTATGCCTTACCATGAGTTGCATGCAAGGAAGTGGTTGCCTTCCACGTAGACAGTCGTTTTGCGTCCTTGGGCATGTTCTGGCAGTGGGTCCACCACCAGGCCGGCCGTCGAATCCTGGAACGTATTGCCCCGAGCCACGAGTCGCCCAATTCTCAGCTCCACGCCCGAGCCTAGCGGGCACGCGCCAAATCTGTTGAGGGCATGTGTGTGACAAGGATTGTTGGCCCGGCGTGTGTGCGTAAATACAGCCAATCAATGAAGGCGTGGGCGCTCCTCAGTCAGCTGGATTAGCAATATTTATTGGATAAAACACATGTTGGGAGGTCAAAAGACAGTTATGTTGCCATTCTCTTGTCATGATGTCGAGACTACACACGACATCAAGAGCACGGCCAACACACGGCACTCACAGTGCATCGCTCCCGTCGCACCGTTACGTTTGGGGCATAAGTCGCACTTGACCTCATCAAAGCAAACCCTTGCGCTAATCGGTAAAATTAGACCATCCGGCTAGTCAGCGCTGACTAGCCGGATGGTCTAGTTCCGCGAATTAAAAGATATGCTCAGAGCTCGTTAGCACCCGGCCGGATCACATGGGCTTGAGGCTGTTCGTAGCTTAATCACTGGGATTGAGAGTAGAGATCTCCGGGGACGGACCCCTCGCCAAACGCGGCTGCTCAGTCAAAGAAAAGTGATCCGGCCGGTGTTCGAACTCGTGCGGGTATCCTTTAATCGGTAAAATTAGACCATCCGGCTAGTCAGCGCTGACTTATCTTTTAATCCGCGGAACTAGACCATCCGGCTACTCAGCGCTGACTAGCCGGATGGTCTAATTTTTTCGATGATGCGCATCGTCTTCATTCGACCATGCGAAATCAGAGCACATCTCTCACGTGCAATTGTGCATCAGCGTGTCGGTCCTGACAAACACTGCTGGGCCTTCGTGCATCGGCCCACCCTCCTCGTAAAAGTAGCCAGAGACTGGTTCTCGAACTCCTGGTCTAAGGTGTGCGCCATGCGGCTCAAGCTGAGGCCTCTCATGATGTATGGTTCCCTCAGCTAAAGTCGATGGGTCCGTTCGCGAATCGCGAATGTACCCCGCGCAGGGCATCGGGGTACAAGTTGGATCAGTGTTAGATGTCACAGGTCGGGCACGTTTGGCTACATGTTTCGGGCGAAAGCTCGAAGTCTACAGTATGGAGTGAATCTTGTTTTTGCATCTGCCCTCCGATGTACTGGACAAATAGACTCCACGCGATTTTTTTCTTGGCGCCCACCACCAACCAAGCATGACTCGTAGTGTGTTGACCCTTACGCATTTATCTCGTTTCGGGCTCTGTTGTGGGCACAACAGCACTATTCCCTTTCGCATAGAAGGCGGGACACGAGCTACGACTGTGGATGGTGTGAAATCTTGAAACCCAGAGTCTGCGAAAGCAAGGCAAACACATTTGAAGGAAACACGCTCCGGCGACAATCTCTTCGTGTCCACCCGGTACCGGTGATACTTCCTAAAGAGGGCTCATGTCTAGAAATCACCGGGGCGACGGTTCGTTAAGCGATCAGCAATACTGCTCACGCCATCGTGCTGGATACTGTAGTACAGCAACACTGAGAGATATTGGTATTGTCGCGTTCGGCCTCCACCGCACAACTTTACAGTGTTGTGTGACCAGCGAGCACATTATTGTGCATTGCACCGTCTTTGTCTCCTATCCAATTTCATGGGCGAGATTGCAGATTGCGGTGGTAGAATGATGTTCATTGCATGTCGTTTATAATACATAGCGTGGGCCATCAATACAAATGCACCCGGATGGATGTATCATCTTTCTCACGCTCGCATCAGGTACGTTTCACTGCCGAACAAAACCTTGGCTGGGTACATACACTGGACGCGTTCTTTACAAAGAGAGCGCCATCCTGCAGCTCGAGTCGGCCGCGAGAGGTGCCAATGATCCTGATGGCTCCAGAGATGTAAATGCTGCCGGCCACCGTGATTCGTGTAGAGACCTTGATGGTCGTGCCCTCCTTGGCTGTCTTCAGCGCCTCGACGAACGCCCGGCCCCTTCTCTCCCTCTCGTACCCTTGAACGTCCCATGGGCAGTACGACTCGGATTCGGTCATGGTGTGGAAGCGGGCGTACGAGTTGGAGGAACACGAATTGCATGACGCGCCGCACACGTTCTCGTCGAGGTCATCGTTGTTGCTCGTGTTGGTGCTTGTGTCCGGTCCGTGAGGGTTTGGAGCTGATAGCAATCTGATGCAGGAGCAAGAAGAGATTTGCTCGGAAATATCGTCGGTTTCCGCGAAATCATGCGAGGGGCATGTAGAACATCGGTAGACGCCAGTTGGGGGCGAAGGCCAGAACGCCAGTTGGGGGAGAAGGCACAAAATGAAGCCCTCATCACGCCTGACCCTGAGCTTCTAATTGATTTTCACAAAGGTCCACCTATTGATACATCAGCGGCCCCAAACATATCGACGTACGTGTAGAAGGTCAGGGCTACTTTTCGACTAGTCGGCGACTTGCCGTCCCTTGCAGACTTGATCCTAGCTAACTTGCACAACCGGGGAGATTAGCATAACGCTTAAATTTTCACTTCCCACTCGGGTTTGCACAAATACATGCCAACGTGTGCACGCCAGAGTTGAGCTGTATCGCGAGGGGCTGTTTGTCACGGGTCACACAAAGCCCGTGTGACCCCCGATGACCCTGGGAAATCCGATAATAGAGCCAATCAAGAGTTTACAAAAACCCTTGCAAGATTCAACTTACTGTATGAACGCCAACTTCTCGGCCTACTCTACACCTGGCGCCACTATTGGAGATGAATGACAAATATGATTCCGCCTTGGGTCAGCTTGCGGCCCGATCATGTCGCCATCTCGAGCGCGAAAGTTGATACTGCAGGTGTCGTTTCATCAGAACTATTCATAGCGTACGGTATATGTATGGGATACTTTGAAGCAGCCAATGTGTAAGGGGCAGGCACTCCAATGCTTGATGAACTGTGAATTGAACGTACGTCCTGCCGACTACCGTCAGTGATTGTCCAGCGATGATGGCATCGTCGACCTCCTCATGGAATGAAAGTACTCTCGTCCATGGTGCACACTGAGGCGGTTCCTACGCCTTGGAAGAATAGCCCCATCTTGCACGAGCACCCTCCTTCCAGATACGAGAGATCGATCTTCAGATGTCATTTTCAAAACACCCACCGTCTTGATATTTAGTCGTGCCGTTACCTGGGAAGGGATCGGCCAATGGCCATCGCGACGTTCTCCTGGGGGACTATCTTTCCCTGCGATGCTATTGAAATTCCAAGCCACGTGCCCGGCAAGCACTAGAATCTTCGGTGTCAGGAATGGGCATAGATCATTTGTGCAACCCAGTGGCATACCGGTTACCAAATCTAAATAGCTCTAGGATTGATTCTGTGGTGAGACAGTGCTACACGAACTCATAAACTGACCACAACGCGGCGCGCGTACCGTCGGACCAGCGTCGAAGAAGGCGTCGTTGACAATCTGATAGTACCCATACTTCTCGCCTCGGACGCGGTGGTACTCTTGCTGGTTCGCTCCCACGAAATTCGTTTCGTCGCTAAGGCCGCAAATGCGAGGGGCGGACGGGTAGGGCTTTGGTTTCTCGAGCGGAGATGGCTCAGCGGAAGGTGATGTCGATGTCGAATCTTCTTCCCCGACGGCGTCTCGGGGAGGGGGGGGGCACGTCCGGCCATGCTCTCCTGCGCGGCTTCGTAGGCGGCGACGCGAGCTCGATGTGCAGCCTCCGCCTTGCCCTTCCTGGCGCTCATCTCCGCTTGGAAAACTTCTTCCGAGCCCCACCTGAGAGTACACTGGTTAGAGTTGGTTGTTGCACCGATGTGTTCGACATCGCTCATGGGCTGTGCTATACAGAAATGAGTTGCGCCATCGTTCGCCCTGCCACAACTTGTTTCACGCTCTGAAACTTGCATCGATTGCAGTTTCTGCTTGGGGTTTGAGCTTTCGTACACTCACACACAGGCACAGGCAAAGCATAAGCGGATGAGCTACCGCAAAGACAAGGTCAACCCCCGCGCAAAACATCGAAAAATCTGCCGATAGCATATGGACCCAGAGGAAGACCTCACGTAGTCCTACTGTACGCCATCACGGGCGGAGCATACAGACAATGGGACTTGTAGAGGGCATCGTGAAACTTTTCCTCTACGCTTGCCGACGGAGTGTTTAACACGAGCGTACCTACGTGTTGGTGTTAACATTGGATCGTCAGCATCATCGAGCTGCTGAACAGCAGCCATCACTGATAGCGCGATGTGCCCAAGGTCACCCAGCTACACATGTTCGATCCGGCAATAATCATAATTTTCGAGCTCCACAATGAGAGAACCAGACAGTCGCACAATAGGCCTGCAACGAACCTAGCCAAGGCGGACGACTTCCCAGCGCTGCACGTCGTCCGTGTGATGCTTCTCTTGTTGTGGCTGAATCTTTCCACCCCTGGCAAGCCTGTCTCATAGGCCTTGTCTACATGAAGCGTGGGAAGCCGGGCCGCCTGAGAGCTGCTGAGAAGAAAATGGTGCTTCGCGAAACTATCGGGCGATACATGTGAAAGAACCGGGTGGGCGGCAGGCAATCAATGGTTGTCGTGGGGCATTGGACCAAGCAACATGTGGTATGCGCTTCTGTTACGTGCAGAGTTTCCAAGAATGGTTAGCCGTGTCCCAGCCTTTTGCAAACTAGCAGTGGGTGAAGAATACCCATCATGTCCGGGCAAAAAAAATGAACAAGACGGGGTTGGATCGTGATGTAGCCACATAAATGTGATGATTAGCGGCTGGTCGAGTCCGGCGACCATGCCATATATGCCATAATAATTCGGCCCGCTTGAACCAAGCAACGGTAGGATCGTGCTCAAGGAGGCCTTTATCATCTGGTACTGGAGGGAATTCCAGTTGACCAATCGACTACATAAAGAAAACATAAGTCATGGCCAACCCTTGTCCATTGTGCAGCACGGCGACCCATACTGAATCTCTTCGTTGCTCAAACAAGATTTTGCGTTGTGTTGGCAAAGGACAAATATCAATAGCCGCAACCAACAACGGTAGACGGGAGTTTACCTGAGGCTACACATCTTGACGCGGGTGTCCGTTCCGAAGCAAGGCTCGCACACCCTGGAGCACGTCACAGTGAAGAACCCGCTCGTTGGGTCCCGGCACAGCGAGCGTAAGGGGAGTGAAAGCTGGGTCACAACCTGTCAGGTCGGGCATAGACGGCACAATAAAATGACAGCACCTATTGCACGGATGAAAACGACCACAGATCGATATGAAAGGCGTACAGTTTCACAGTGGTGTCACTTGAGGAGTGCCTGTCTCGCCTTCACTGTGGCGTAGGCTGGAAATACTTCAAGCGTCGATCGGAGATAGCAACAACATCGACAGAGCGCGCGCATACAACATTGACTCCAGCTTTCAGCACCTGCTTACCATCTAAGGTGGAGAAGGTAAGCTTCTCAATATTCAACTCTACTTCGCTGTGAATGAACCGTCTCAACATTGAACACCTTGGTGCAGTAATGTACACAGACATTGAATTTCTCCCACCTGTCGGCACGTGAACTGCTCAGCGAGCTCCGAAAGCTTAGCTGGCCCTAAGATCGAGATGGGATCCACCGTAGAAAGAAACGGGCGCCAGAGTGACTCGTTCTCGTTGGGCGCCAACCACGCCTTGCTGATCAGGTTGCTGTGCATGGAATGTTTCAAATTTTGAAATTTGACCGTTGGGATAGGAGCGGGAGGGAGGGCCCGTGAAGAACTAGGGGGGGTACCACATCGTCATATGTCATGGGTATTCCCCCGGAACACCATGTGAGGAGCACGTTCGGCATCATTTGGAGAAGCCCCGATGATGTCCAAACAGTCATTACCAGACTAGGCTATGATGACAGCTAGCTATAGCATTCAAACAGCAATCGTTTCCGTGGCCATCGCGAGTACGCTCTGTCTTGCGTTTCATTCCAGCAGCACTGGGCACATGCCTAAATTGTAGTTGGACCACACACATGGCAGTCTCCCTTTCGAAATCAGCCACTCACCTGACCCCGAGATCACTGTAAGGGAGGTAGGCCAGGATGTCGCCGGCAACCGCATCATCGAGCATCGGGAACAGCCCAGGTATTGTGAGTGAGTCGAGCGCCTGCTGCGGGCGTTTGTTGTTGCCGCGGGGGAACCGGACCTGGTCTGTAGAGACGAGACAGCGTTGCTCAAGCCAGCTGCTTCTCCACGCGACTTTGAGGCACGCGTAATCATATGCATTCGTCGCGGTGGCATCGATCCCTTCGGGTGAGGGGGGGAGGGTTGAGTTCGGAGAAAGAGGTGCGCTGCTCACGGTGTTGGCTGGTGTGTCTCATGTCGTGTTTCGAACGGTGGGGGTGTCGTGTTTCATGCGGCGGGAATATATGATTTGAAGGTACCCCCGGTGAACCCCGCTTCGCAGGCCCCCTGTCCAGAATGTATGCAAAGGCATTTCACGGTTTCACTGCCACGCTCCGTCTATGCACGGTCAGCGCATTTCAGTGTGCGCGTCGAGGGTGTTTGAAAATCACAATTTGGAACTCGCGTTCTGAACTCCGCTGGGAGGAACGCAGGCAGGAATGACTGCAATAGACTATTTGTAATTGGTGCCCGCAGTTGTCTGATTGGTCCCGAGGATTCATGCCCATGTTCTGTGATAGCACATAATGAATGCAAACTTTGGTCGGTTAAGCTTTGAATACGCAAGTCTGTCACTCGCTGCGATCTCTGCCATACCGAGGATAAGGACATGGGGATATGTGGATCCCACGTTTGGGGGCCATATTCCGTCTGTCCGGGGTGCTTCACAAGGATGTAGTGGGAAAAATTCGAGCGAAACATGTGAACTTTGCCTAGCAAGGAAGTGAAGATGGGCTGCCAAGGCATATGTGAAACAAGGCGAGCCTACTTTCTGACACTTTCGTGTATAAAGGCCGTTTGCTCATATCCGGCGAATCAGACCTTCCGAAACAATTGGGGGACGAATCTAATACGAACAGCAGTTCGCTCTCTCAGCGCTCCTCCCAGGCCCGATGCGTGTTCGATCTCTCCCGCGGTCGTGGGGCTAATAGCGCCGCACCTGAGTCGGCAAAGGTCCATCCCATGGATCATTTCACACAAAATTACTCCACGAAAAATCGCCCCATGCCTGTACCAACGAATAATCTGATGACTACCGTCGAAAGAGTCCGCTCGCTCTTCATGTCGTTGGCCTTGTACAAGCCACGACATATCATCCGCATGCAGTGCTCAAAATGTCATGTGATATTTGCCTCCAAAGACGCGGGCACCGGAATGAAGTTGTTCTGGCTGCAACTGAGATACAATCGACTCGCATGTATCCTTTGAAGTTGACGGAGGTCGGATGGCCAGAACAGGAACGCGATTTCCCACCTCGACCCATGGTAGGGAGAACTTTCGTACCGGAAACAAACCTCTCTGGCGCCGTACTGAAGTATGCAATCTTGAGGCCACAGGCCGATCGGAGTTGAAATCTACCGCCCCATGCACCGATGGGGCTCCGCCGTCATTTTCATGCGTGTGTTGTAGGCAACACGGGGTGGCCTGGACAGGTTTGGAGGGGCGAGCCCCATGACAAATGAAATCCAGCGTCCTCTCGTGAAGAAATACATGACTCCATCTCTACTGCTGCCCACTACGGTCAAGTCCCTGGCGGTCAATCCGCGTAGAAATCACGGATTGCACCGTCACCGTTGGCCGAGAAAGTGTTGGTTCTCATAACGGCGTCGTTGTCCTGTAGGTGGTGACGGGCCGGCCCTTTCCCAATGCCCCTGGTCATCGGGTCGAGAAAAAGTGAGAAAAGAGACAAAAAGAGATTCCCGGCGGGAAGTGAGTCGTCATGATTTCGAGCTGGATCACCATGGTAGGCGGCGTTGACGAGTGATACTCATGGATTCCTTCAAGAAATTCAAAACTAGCGACGAGGTCATGTGGCATACGCAACACATCACCATCCGTTGCGATGACGACCCGCCCACTGTTTCAAACCAAGCATCCTGCCGCACGACCAGTATCTGGACCGATCCCCAACCTACTGCATACTCTCGCATGGATCGAATCTGGTTTCTAGTCAGTCCGTGTAGGCTACCCACACTAGCCGCCATTGGCATGGATTCGTCACAAACTTATCGCTTCGCACCAATCACCGCCTTCGAGTGAATACGAAGCAGGGCCGTCTCGCGGGCGCTTCCCATCCGCCACTCTTGATCTAAATTTGGTATGCGCTACTGCGCCCGCGTGCCTGTAACGCGGTGATCGGTTACTGCCTACGTATACCACGGTTTCTCTGGAAGCTTCGCCCAGTCACAACATTGTACAGCGACAGGCTTTCGCAAAATCTACCACGTCTCCACAGCGTATGTCTTACCATGAGTCGCATCCAACGAAGTGGTTGCGTATCACGTGGACGGTCGTTTTGCGGCCGTGGGAATTTTCTGGCAGTGGGTCCACTACCAGGCCGGCCGTCGAATCCTGGAACGTGTTGCCGCGAGCCACGAGTCGCCCAAATTTCAGCTCCACGCCCGAGCCTAGCGGGCACCCACCGAATCTGTTGAGGGCATTTGTGCGAGAAAGACTGTGGGTCGGCGTGTGTGTGCGTGTAAAGTCAATCAATGAAGGCCTGTATACTCGTCATTGTCAGCACACAGGGAGCCAGATGTTTCGGATATTACCGGTCGTGGTAAGCCAAGTGTCAGAAAACGAAAGATGGGACACCAAATGGGGTCTCCTTGATAGGTTTCAAAAGACAGTTATTATGTCATTCTCTTGCCATGATGCCGAGGGTACTAAGGATGTAGAGCGCACTTTGACGGAAAGCAGCATGTGAATCATGTCTCATTAGGACAAGATACGCGGCACTAACAGTACATCGCTCCCGTCACACCGCTACCTTTGGGACATACGTCGCACTTGACCTTCTCAAAGCAAACCCTTGCGCATCGTCTTCATTCAACCACGACTTCATAGCACCCTTCTCACGTGCAATTTTGCAGCAGCGCGTCGGCCCCGATGAACACTGCCGGGCCTGTGAGCATCGGCAATTCGTCCTCGATCTCGTCGCCAAAGTGGTCCATGAATGCCTCATCTAACACGTGCGCCATGCGGTTCAAGCTGAGGCCTCTCAAAATGCATGGTTCCCTCAGCTGAAGTCGATGGGTCCGTTCGCGAATCACAAATAAACCCCACAGAGGGTATCGGGGTACCAGTTAGACAAATATTCGATGTCACGAGTCGGGCACGTCTGGCTACATGTCTCTGGCAAAAGCACGAGGTCTACAGTATGGAGTGAATCTTGCTTTTTGCATCTGCCCTCCGATGTACTGGAACAATAGACACTGTAGGCTCGAATATTCTCTTGGGGCACGCCACCAACCAAGCACGACTCGATAGCGTGTTGGCACTTACCCATACACTATCTCGTTTGGGTTTATCTCGTGGACACAATACAGTACGGGAATTCTGTTAAAAAAACTGCGCTCAAATTCTTACGAAAAATATGAAAAATGGGCTAAGAAACACAGGTTAGTCTCGGCCACAACGTAGCAAATGTCCCAATAAGAAAGATGATTGTACGATACCCCCACGACATAAGAAACACGGGGTAGGTGGAGGAGCGTGTCCAATGTGAAACGTCCCACTGCTGCTCCTTCCGTGCTCCCATTCCCCTACCTAGCTGAACAGTGCATTTTTCTTCCCAGGAGGGAGAGTGGATAGTTTCGCCACATCGATCTTTCTATCTGGTCACTGCGGCATGACCGTTTGGTGTGTTGTTGTATTCTAAGCGAATAAGAAAATACACGAAAAAAGAAAAAAGACACCTACATAGGAGGATAGTCCAAAGGAATAAGAAATGCCTTGTAAAAAGTGGACGACTTCGCCTAGTCGTTGGACCCAAAATACAGGATTGAGGCTCGACCCGATTGTGACGTTTCTTATCTGCGGGCCCGTACTGTCGCACTATTCCCTTTCGCATAGAAGGTGGGACGCGCGCTAAGACTGTGGATGGCTTTTGAAACCCAGTTGCTGCGGAAGCAGCGTGAATACATTCGAAGGAAACAGACTTCGGCGATAATCTCTTCGTGTCCACCCGGTACCGATGGTATTTCCTAAAGTGGGGGGTTCCCACATTATCGTGTAAATGGATTCACTGTTATAACAGTGAACTGTCATTCTTACAACGGTGAGGAGCACTGTTATGAAAGTGAGGAGCACCCATATAACAGCGACTATTTATCACTTTCATAAGAGTGATGCGCTTGGGCAAGTATGTGCTCGTCCCATCGTTCCGTTTCTTGATGAGAGCTGCAGAACTGCTCCAAAATCAAAGTCATTTTTACCGCCTGGCTGTTAAAGGTGACTTACACGACAGTCGTTTACTTTAATATAAGTCCCCAAACTGACTGTTAGTGATGTGCACCCACCCTCACTTTCATAAGAGTCAGCTGACCGTAGCAACAGTGTTTGAACTGACACCTCACTTTCATAATGGTCAGCTGATAGTCGTTTCACATTTATAAAAGTCCCCAAACTGACTGTTAGTAATGTGCACCCACCTCACTTTCATAAGAGTCAGCTGACTATTATAACAGTGTGTGAACTAACACCTCACTTTCATAAGAGTCAGCTGACTCTTATGAAAGTGAATGAACTGACTGTCATAACTGTGAAATAATGATGACTGTTATAGGAGTGAGCCGACTGTTATAACAGTCAACTCACTGTTATATCAGTCAAATATTCACTTTTATAACAGTGAATCCATATACAAGATTGTGTGGGAGCCCGTAAAGAGGGCTACTGTCTAGAAATCACCGGGGCGACGGTTCGTTAAGCGATCAGCAGTACTGCTCACGCCATCGTGCTGGATACTGTAGTACAGCAACACTGAGAGATATTGATATTGTCGCGTTCGGCCTCCACCGCACAACTTTGCAGTGTTGTGACCAGCGAGCACATTTTGTACATTGCATCGTCTTTGTCTCCTATCCAACTTCATGGTCGAGATCGCAGATTGTGGTGGTAGAACGATGTTTGTTGCATGACGTTTAGGGGGAAAATCGTGGGGCTTCAATACGACAGCACCCGGATGAATGTATCATCTTTCTCACGCTCGCATCAGGTACGTTTCACTGCCGAACAAAACCTTGGCTGGGTACATACACTGGATGCGTTCCTCACAAAGAGAGCGCCATCCTGCAGCTCGAGCCGGCCGCGAGAGGTGCCAACGATCCTGACGGCTCCGGAGAAAATGTTGCCGGCCACCGTGATTCGTGTACAGACCTTGATGGTCGTGCCATCCTTGGCTGTCTTCAGCGCCTCGACGAACACCCGGCCCCTTCTCTCCCTCTCGTACCCTTGAACGTCCCATGGGCAGTACGACTCGGATTCGGTCATGGTGTGGAAGCGGGCGTACGAGTTGGAGGAACACGCACTGCACGTCACGTCACACACGTTCTCGTCGAGGTCATCGTCGTTGCTCGTGTTGGTGCTTGTGTTCGGTCCGTGAGGGCTTGGAGATGATGTCGCGCAGCTGATGGCAATCTGATGCAGGTACAAGAAGACATTCGTTCGGGATATCGTCGGTCTCCGCAAAGTCATGCGAGGGGCGTGTATGACGGCATCTCATCTCCCACTGGGATGAAATAAATACTCTCATCTATCTCTGGTGCACACGAAGAGAGGATTCCTACTCCTTGCAAGAGTAACTCTATCCATCTCGCACGACCCCTCTCCTTGCATATATTTACGAGATTGATCTTTAGATGCCATCTTCAATACACCCATCGTTCGGGTACATACATAAGTCGTCTCGTCTTCTGGGAAGGGATAGACCAATGGCAGTCGCGACGCTCTCTAGGAGACTTTATGTCCCTGTCATGCTACCGCAATTCCAAGCCACGTGCCCGGCAAGCACAAGCATATCTTCGGTATCAGGAATGGGCGAAGATGTTTTTAGCAACCAAGCGGCAACCGGCTATCAAATCTGAATACTACAGCTCTGAGATCGATTGTGTTGAAACAGAGCTTTGTACACCAGTTGTAGAAGCCGAAACCAAAACCATTAGACTAGTCAGCGCTGACTAGTCTAATGGTTTGATTTCGGCTTCTATCGAAGTTCTATAGAGTTCATAAACTGACTCTAAAATTCGGCGTGCGCACCGTCGGACCAGCGTCGAAGAACGCGTCGTTGACAATCCGATAGAACCCATACTTCTCTCCTCGGACGCCATGGCCCTCTTGCTGGTTCGATGCGACGTAGTTCGTTTCACGGCTAAGACGGCAAATGCGAGGTGTAGAAGGATAGCGTTTTGGTTTCTCGAGCGGAGATGGCTCGGCGGGAGGTGATGTCGATGTTGAGTCTTCTTCCCCGCCCCCCTCACGGGAAAGGGAAGGACTTTTGGCCGTGCTCTGCTGCTGAGTGATTTCGTAGGCCGCGACGCGGGCTCGATGAGCGGCCTCCGCCTTGACCTTCCTGGCGGTCATCTCGGCTTGAAAACCTTCCTCCGAGCCCCACCTGATCATAGATTGGTTGGATTGGGTGTCAAGGGCCAATTTGAATCACCCCCACGGGCTGCATGCATGCGCTGTACGCACGAGTTGTATATCACTGCTGTGCTCGTTCTCAAACGGCTTCAATCATGCTCGTGCTTTACTCGCTGAAGCTAGAGCAGGAGCGGTATTGCTTATAGCTGTTTCGGTTTTGGTACGCTGAAGCACACATACACATTCAAGCAAAGAGACTTACGCCTTCCGGAAGGACGAGCTCATGTCCAACCAAAATCATCTGCCGTAGCATGCGAACTGCTTGCGGACTACCCACCTCAAGGCAACAGCTGCAGGACCAAGTGAGGTCATCAGACGGATGGGGCCAACAGTGGGGGTCGTGAAACGTTTCCTCAAACCATCCTGACTGAGCAATCAACAAGAATTTATGTACCTACTTTTGTTTCGCCGTAGCCCCTTACTAGCCATCCGCAAGTTAACACAGTAGTTTTCATCATCGAGGTCGTACTGCTGTACTTTCGATCTTCACCAATCGCCTTCATTTCCAAGAACTTCCCAACAAGATGAAAGCAGCCGGCGAGGCCTCCTACGAACCTGGCGAGGGCGGAGGCCTTGCCAGCGCTGCACGTCGTCAGTGTAATGCTTTTGTGGTGGTCGACCAAACCTGTCTCATCGGCGTCGTCTACGCGCAGAGTGGGAATCCGGGCCGCCTGAGAGTTGCTGAGAAGAAAATGCGCCTTCGCGAAGCTAACGGGGCGATTGACATCCGGGTGGAAGGGGTCGGCGATCGTTTTAGTGGAAGAGCAAGGTGTGGCATGCGCATTCGTTGTGTGTAGAGTTTTCAAGAATGGATGGCGGCGTGCCCGCTTATCGTAAAAAGCGATGTTAAGAGTGGGTGAAGAGTTCCATTCTGCGCGAGGCACAAAGAATGAACCCGGAGTACTCGCGCTTCTTGGGTGTGTGCCGGAGCCACATACCAATCGTTAACAACGGTTGTTCGAGTCCATTATTGGTTTGTCAGTATCGTATTCGAGATGGGCTGTGTCATTTGATATTGCAGTTCGATCTGAGCTACCTCCGGAGTTGTTGGAGGGAACGTCTTGAGATTGATCAACGAGTACATGACCGTGTCCATCGTTCAGCGTGGCGGCCAGTGGTGAAAAATCACGTTGCTCAAACAATAGTGTGCTGTGATTGGTACAAGGACAAAACGCAAGTTGTGCAACCAAGAGCGTTAGACGGTGCACACCTAAGGCTACACATCGTGGCCCGGGCATCCGTTTCGAAGCAGGACTCGCACACCCTGGAGCACGTCAAAGTGAAGAACCCGCTCGTTGGCTCCCGGCACAGCGAGCATAAGCGAAGGGAAAGCTGAGTCACAACCTGTCAGCGTTGCGTTGGCGCATAAGATAAAACTTTGTTGGTTAGGTGTGATGGGAAAAACATGGCGGCGAAATAGAAGTGAAACCTAAAGCTGTGCACTGACAAGGATGACCGGGAGTCATTTACGGCGTAATGCTGCAGTGGTGGCAGTTTGAAGTGCCTGTCTCGCCTTCACTGTCGCCAAGGCTGGAAATATTCTCAGCGCGACGGATGGGTCGGACGCTACTATCATACAATACCAACATCGACAGAGCGCGCGCATACAACATTGACTCCAGCTTTCAGCACTTCTCAGTATTCACTCTACTTCGCCGTGAATGAAACGTCCCAACATTGAACACCTTGGTGCAGTAAGAATGTACACAGACATTGAATTTCTCCCACCTGTCGGCACGTGAACTGCTCAGCGAGCTCCGAAAGCTTAGCTGGCCCTAAGATCGAGATGGGATCCACCGTAGAAAGAAACGGGCGCCAGAGTGACTCGTTCTTGTTGGGTGCCAACCACGCCTTGCTGATCAGGTTGCTATGCATGGAATGTTTCAAATTTTGAAATTTGACCGTTGGGATAGGAGCGGGAGGGAGGGCCCGTGAAGAAACAGGGGGGTACCACATCGTCATGTGTCATGGGTATTCCCCCGGAACACCATGTGAGGAGCACGTTGGCCATCATTTGGAGAAGCCCCGATGATGTCCAAACAGTCATTCCCAGACTTTGCTATGATGACAACTTGCAACAGCATCCAAACAGCAATCGTTTCCGTAGTCATCGCGAGCACGCTCTGTCTCGAGTTTCATTCCAGCAGCAGTGGGCACACGCCTACATTGCACTGTAGTTGGACCAGAAACATGGCAATCTCCCTTTCGAAATCAGCCGCTCACCTGGCACCGAGATCACTGCAAGGGAGGTAGGCCAGGATGTCACCGGCAACCGCATCATCGAGCATCGGGAACAGCCCAGGTATTGTGAGTGAGTCGAGCGCCTGCTGCGGGCGTTTGTTGTTGCCGCGGCGGGAACCGGACCTGGTCTGTAAAGACCCGGCAGCGTTGCTCAAGCCAACTGCTGCTCCACGCGACTTTGAAGCACGCGTAATCATATGCATACGCCGTGGTGGCATCGATCCGTTCGGGTTGGGGGTGGGGGCTTGAGTGTGGAGAAGAAGGTGTGCGCTGCTCTGCTGTGTCTGATGTCGTGTTTGAATTGGTGGGGGTGTCGTGTTTACTGCGGCGGGAATTGTTTCAGGAGGTACCCCCTGTGACTCCCGCTTCGCTGACCCCCTGTCAAGCTCCGTTGGCTCCGTTGTGATATGCGCAGCAGTGACCTCGATTTGCCTATTTGTTGTGCGGTCAGCGTAATTCAGTTTCGATGTTCCAGTGGGATGTTCGCAAAGACAGGAGGCTGGCAGGCAAACGGACAGGCAGATAGGCCGGCAGGGAGGCTGTTGTTGTGGGATGTTCGCGAAGGCAGGAGGCTGGCAGGCAAACTGACTGGCAGGTAGGCTGTCAGGGAAACTGGCAGGGAAACTGGCCTCTTCTGTGACGCGATGATGAGGGATTCATCAGTTTAGGCAGGTAGTCGAACCTTGCGAGGTCAACGGTTATCTCGTTACGATGTGCCATGGGATGGAGGGGATGAGCACAAAGAGTTTCAATATGGCTCGCTACCGCACGGACTTTCCAATATGACTGCAAATTGTATTCTTATCTTTTTGTTTCATGTTGTATATGAAATGACACTCCGATGACAATCAGCCGGTCTCCATCACCGCTTTCAAGAAAGGGGTGGGTGGGAGGCGGCTATTCGGGAATAAATCACTGCGCATGTTCTTGAATTAGATGGAACGGAAAATCGGGAAAGTGGGGCAAATGGCATCTGAATGGGTGCCTACAGTACTGCTGTACACATCGGCGAAACATTTCTTCACCTCTCTTCACTGTAGCAGCATCAAAAAAGAGGGAGTCATTCTCTCGCTTCCGCTCGAGTGTACACTTTGAGGGAATAGGCGCTGCACTCTTCTCGCGTTAGTAGTCGAAAGAAAGTACCGCAGCAGGAGGGAAGCTCAGGGGGGGGAATCCCCGTTGTATGACCATGGATTGGAGCTCCCGGCAGTAGTGCTGTGGTGAGCACTGACTCAAAACTACACGACGGGACAATCAGCGACAGAGAGGCGTCAAGTTGCCGATTTGGGGTGTGAAAAATACTGCTACAGTCAATGGCCTATTGCGGCGCCTATGAGCGTTGAGAATTCGCTTTTGGTCATCATTTCGCAGAATTAACGAGGCCCGAGGGGCCTGCGGTTCGGTGTAAAGATCCCCTGTCTGTCACTGTCGGGCCACATTTGAGAGCACCCCGCCTGCCTACACTCCGATACTGACCACTCAGACAGCCGTGAACGACCATAGGAGCTGTCAATTCGGAGCCTTGGCCAGAGACTCCCCTACAAGAAGATAGAGTCGCGCGGTGAGTGACAAAAGCGACTCATTTGTCTTCCTTGTGCAGAACCTGTGGAGCCACCTACACTGCTGCTGCTGCTGCTGCTGGTAATGTTACCCCTTGCTCATTTTCGCTTGTTTGGACATCTGATTCAAGGGTAGCACCTCGCGAGCAGCAAGTAGCCGCCCAGATTGAAGATCAACAACCAGAGGAGTTTCTGTTTGCTTCACTTCAAATCAGCGCTCGCAGCATTGTTTTTTGCCGTATACTCCAACCCGTGGTCACACAGAAGGGTTCCTCTCCCTACCCACCCCTTCTGCCGTGCTTTGCCTTTGGATGCGTTGTTTTAACAAAATTCCGATTGTACCGTATCAGAAGTTCCCACAGCAGTATGGGTAATCAATGACAGAATAACGAGATTTGTGAGTGCCCCACGTGTACAGCAGACGGATTGCCAACGCAGTGTGCAACCTGGAACGCCCATGACCCTTGTGCGACAGCAGTGCTTACTGTACATTGGTTACGAGTAAAGGGGTTTAAAGGTCCTGTTTCCTGCTTCAACCTTCGATCGCGAGGTACATCTCCCGCACTTTCCTCTAGGAAATAGCCCGATCAACCGTTCGCTGCTGTTTTCCCTACATTCTAACCCGATCACATTAACCCTCCCTGGAGGTTCTCATGCACAACGTAGAAACTTACAACATCCCGGGAAGCTTGACAATTCATTGCCTAGACCCGAAAATGAGAACGTCGATGCAACACACCACAATTTACCCTCCCACACCTCTCACTCGATGCGTCGCAAGGCGATCGGTTGGACCAGACAATAACGAAGGTGGAGAATTGAATAGACTCGGGCTATAACAAAGAGAAACAGGCGGCGTCAAAACATCAAACCTACAATAAATCACCGGATCGAAACCCAAAACGAAAGAAGATCAAGGCAAAAAGTCGTAATACCGACGACAAGGCCTGATCCGGATCCCGATCTGATCTACCATTCTTTACTACTATCCTACATTCAACTTCCATAATACCCGGCAACCACACGGAGGAAAAACAGCAAATCCCCACCACCGTCGAAACCAGCTCTGTTGCAATGAATGGTAGCAGGGGGAGAAATTCAGTTGTCAGAGGAACACATCGTAGGCATATGCGTACATAATCGCAGCAGCATTTGATCGTGAGGATCTGGGGGCTACGTGTTGGGACTTTCGTGGCACAAACCCCTTCATTGCTGAAAACTAGAAAGCCAATTAGGGTCATCCAAGTTGGGTGCTCAATTTCGATGCAACTTTCAAAATTTAAACAGGTCTTCAGGCACCTCCTTTGTAACTTTCTACCTGCACCTCGTCTTCCGATATCTGTCCGGTAAACCGGGTAGGCTGAAGCTCATAGGTTTGTGGAGAAAGGCAGCTCGGCCAGTGAGGGCCGACATAGGAAAGCCTTGTATTAGAGGGGAGTGGAAACCGGAGTCCCACCACCAGAGAGGAGTGCACAACCAAACCCCATCCATCACGCAATTTCGATCACCGATTGAACTCCGAAGAAACTCTATGTTCCCCAGCAATCTAAGAAAATCTATCTCCGTAGATGCATGCTCCATACTCAACCATTATGCTATGCTACGAGTATATCTAACAGCCCGCCTGCTCGTATGCATCGTAATGATACGGCAAGTCGATGAAAATCCCCCGACACACAAACTCTAGTATATATAGACGTGGTGCCTATTCTCTCCAAGACAAACAATGAGGCGAAACCAATAAGAATGCAAACACTCCTGCACCAAAACATGTCTGCTCATCGCGTTCACTTCTTCTCTGCAAAACGGTCTTCTTCTGGTCCATCCTTTCTCGGCGCTTCGCCGCAACGACATTCGCAAAGTACTTCTATCCTCCGCACAACCTAAAGCATTAAAAATGGAATTCTTCATCAATATTTTCCCAAGACACGGATCTCTCCCTGGAAAAAATCGCCTTTGTTATGCTTCCGACCATATCCATCCACCTACAATTCCTACCAAGACAAAACAAGCTTCCCACAGGATAAACGTTCATGCTTCACGTTTTACTTCGCTGGTAAAACGCGGCTGGGTATGAATCCTACTCTCAATTTCCGATTGAACAACATCCATCCCCAAATATTTGTTCAGCGGTAAGAGCGTTTCCACAGGAAAACATGAAAAATTTCTCTATTGCTTCACTCTAGAAACTGCTGCAGAAATTCCTTTCGAAATAACAACGCGCCTCCGACGGTGGGAGATCCTCCCCCCTGCTTTTAGGAGGGGCTGGAGTCAGAAGGACAAACCAAAAGAGCAACATTCAAAATCCATCTAGTCGGGAAAACACAAGAAAAACAATCCTCCTGCAAACAAATCCGGAAGCCACCACCAAAACCAAATCACTTCCAATGCCAAAACAACGTTCGCAAATCCTAAAGCCAAAAAACGGTCCAATACCAAAACAACAAGAAAACATTCGTGAATCCTCCCATCCAATACCAAACCAAAAGCACTCGAAACCCCTACATTTGCCGGCGCATCAAGCTCCAGCGCTTACCCCATTGCCCAAGCCATTGCTTCTCCCCCCCCGCGCGGATATTTCGTTCGCCTCCGCCGCGGTCGCCTCTCGCCTTTCATCTTTTCCGGCTGGCCGCGGTTCGAGCTTGGAAGTTTGCGTTCGCCTGAAGTGGGGGAAGAATAATTGTCGCTCCCAGAGGATTGACTCGGCGGTGGTGCAGGGCAGGTCGCGCGTTCGGAGGGGAAGATCGCGGCAGATCAGTTCCGAACAAACCAGCGCTACTCACATACTGCGAACAGTCCCCCTGGTTCTGAAATAGTAGTGACTGCAGCAGAGAAAGCAATACATGCAGCATCTTCGACCCTACTCGTGGAACGGTTTGTCTGAAACTACCGATCACTGCGATATCGCCACTCAAAAAGTAGTTGAATATCGTCCTGAAACGGAAGTTGATTATTGTTGTCCTCTGTCGCAAAATAATAATACAGCAGCTTCCATGTCATGACAAGGGTAATAAACCCTACGTCAAAACATTATCAACTTAGAACCGCAGTTTCACAACAATAGTAACCTCAAGACAAAAGTATAACAACCTTCAGATATCAGCATTTCGTCTGCATTGTGCAATTGTTATCAGGAATAACGTGGAGATACCAATGTTGCACGTTGTTGATACTTGACACGTCTCTGGCATTCGCTGACATAACCGAGACATCAAACGTTTTTTGACCAGGCTAAACCCGCCCAAAAAAGAGTCCAGAAAAAACGTTGATCACACAATTTTGATCAGGGTAAGCCTGCCGCCCGAAAGAGCCCAGATAAAACGTTGATCACGCATTTTGCCGGGGAGAGAAAGTTGGTCTCATCACGTCTGTCAGGAAGACTCAGACACTAGAAAACCTCGTCACTCTCAGCATTCTACTAAGTCGCACAAAAACATTTCAAATAGCATGCTACACATATCGTATCATCAATTTCTAGCTGGCATGAGCTATTGCCTTGTAACGCGGGTTTATCAACCGCCATTTATAAGAGTTAGGTAAGAGTCTGTCGGCAGTACCGCGCGACATATTGCCGCGATTAGACCAGAGAAAGTGACGAGTCGACGGCAGTACCGCACGGCGCAATGCGGCGTTTAGACAGAGATGGAGTCGGAGTTTGACGGCAGTGCCGCACTGCACAGTAAGTACAGCATCACCGCATTGGTGTGTCAAAATAAACAGTCCAGTCGAAAACTGAAACGTTATCACGTGCCTGAGCGGGCCTACGACCCCAGTATATGGCGGGGTGCAGCTGAAGCTGGCGCTGCTGTAGGTCTTAGGACGCTGCTGTGTCAAGGCCCTCGCCGTTGGTGGCCTCTTCGTCTGGTTGGGTGTTGTCAACCGCGCATGCAGCTGCCCAACCGTGCTACCAATCTCTCGCTGACTTGTACCCGATCACCGCCGACAAAGCCGTCCTCACGCTATTTAGCGCGTTGGGTGAACCGGGTAGGCCGAAGCTTGTAGGTGTGTGGAGAAAGGCAGCTCGGCCAGTGAGGGCCGACATAGGAAAGTCTTGTATTAGAGGGCAGTGGAAACCGGATTCCCACCACCAGAGAGAAGTGCACAACCACACCCATCCATCACGCAATTTCGATCACCCACAGAATCTCCGAGTAAACCAAGTAGAAACTCCCTGTTCCCCCGCAATCTACCAACAATAACCTCCGTAGACTCATGCCCCATATTCAACCATCATGCTAGATCCATGCCCCATGCTCAACCATCATGAAAAGCTACGAGTATATCTAACACTATCAATCACGCGTTTCGTCTCTCTCTCTCTCTCTCTCTCTCTCGGCTGTGACCGGCCGACTAACATCATTCATTCCCGTATCTCGCCCATCACAGGCTGGCTGCACTCCACATAGATAGTTTAACGTCGGGATATTTCAAGTTTAAGGGTTCCTTTGACTTGTTGTGTTGCTTTCCTCATTTTGTTAACATCGTCGCTGCACGATCTATCATCAGTACCTTGGATTTCCTCCCACAGCCAACGGCACCAACTCAACCGCAATCCAAACCTCTCCCCTCCGCCGGCGCCCATCCTCCCCCGTGCATCTCATCTTTCCTGCTGCATCCAGGAAAATGTGTTCGAAATTTTTCTCGTCGTTAGCTCTCTTCCTGGTCGTGGGCGTCGGCCATGGATTGATCGAGACGTGCGAGGACCTCCAAGCCGCGTCCGAGCTGACCCAGACTCAAGACGTGCTTGTCGAAATGAATCCGGTCACGGATATCGAGTGCGAGACCTTCACGAACATGACCATGACATCGAACACGCTCACGGTGAACTAGACCGAGAGCGTGGACGCCTACTTCAGCAGCTCCTCGCTGACGAACGTTAGATTCGACGTCACGGACGGAGCGGAGCTGATCTGGGAGCCGAACGTCGAGTTCATTGGAGAGGAAGGCGTCGAAAACAACGTCGACGGCGGGGCCGTGTACGTCGGCCAAGGCTCTACCGTGCGCTTCTTGAACGGCCTCGTCATGCGGGACGTCGGCATCATCAACGAGACGGATGAGGATTCTGACTACGCGTCCTACCAGCACAGCGGAGGCTGCGTGCGGACGGCCGGCACCTTCACCGTGAACGGAGACGCGACGTTCACGGGTTGTGAGAGCGTCGGTGCGGGAGAGAGCGCCCCGGGTCCCGGAGGAGCCATCTTCGTGAGCGAGACGGGATCCGTCTCATTCAGCGAGGGAGTCACGATAATGGAAACGAGCATCACCGACGACTTCGGAGGCCAAGGAGGTGGCATATACAACCTTGGAGAGGTGAACGTTGCGGGTGGCTCCCGCTTCGAGGACATCTCGGCGAGCTCTGGGGTTGCTGTCTACAACGGCGAGGGGGCGCAGCTCCGCTTCACGAACGGGGCTACCGCCTGCTTCAGGGACTTGTCGAACCGTGACTCCGTGGGAAGCGCGCTGTATTACCTTGGGTACTTCGAGTTCTCCGGGCCGGCCCTTTTCGTGGAGGCCGACACGCCCGCCCGCCATCGTGGCCTCGGAGACCAGCGTGACCGTCCCCTCCGAGAACTCGGCCTTCTGGACGTTCAATGACTACGATGATCTCGATGACGCTCTCTCGGTCGATGATTTTGCGGATTTCACGTCTCCTGATTCTGTGATGTTTGTCGGTTTCCAGTATGCTGCAGAATCACCTTTGTTTTTGTTGGAGATCGTGGACGGATAGGCCTCGTTGGACGCAGGTCGAAAAGCTCGTAGCTGGCGACCGTTTTGGTGTCACCAGCGCGCTGCGCTTGAGTGTATCCAGCATTGTAGACGTTTCCGAAACAAGCGGGAAGACTTTTGTCGGTTCAAGTAGCTGCTCGTGGGGTGCTAATTGTTGAAACTATGTAGGAGGGGAGAGCGATAATGGGTTTCACGGAAAGAGGGTTAACACCTACTGAAGAAAGGTCGCACCATTGGACACGCAAAACGTAGGTTTTCACACTGAATCGAGGAGAGAGTACACGCGTGCTTAGGGTCCCGGGGGTGGCGGAAGCAGCAACAACCACGGCAGCATTAGGATCAGCAAAAAATCAGCAGTACCACGTGCTCCAGGCATGCTTCCCTCCGACCACACTCTGCCGCAAATTCAAGCACCGGCAGCAGCTGGCGGGTCTCGTGTTTGGTGCAATTCGAATCTATATCTGCAACATGTTTGTTTATTGATTCTTGTGTGTGCAATGAACTCGCGTAGAGCAGGCACATGCAATCCCATGTTGGTTGCTTTGGGCAGAGAGGAGTGACCAAGGGGTGTCGGTGCACGTGAACTATCGACCTGGAGCGTCCATCACTCGTCTACAGTAATGGCCAACAAGGTTGGTGTGTCATTCGGACATACTTCGTCTTTCGGTGGGGTGGATGTGCTTCTCATGTGTTGTTTCGTGACTACTCCAATGTGTATGCGCGATGGGAGGGAGAGGTCGCCGCATTTTCTCATTCGAAAGGGATGTGCGTGAATATCGTTGGAGCTTTGTGTGCGAACGATGGAACGGGTGCTTCTGTATAGCAATGATTGGGCCACACCAGGCAGGAATGAATGTGTGCACAAGCTGCTGTGGGGAATGAATGATCCACAGATTCGTGGTTGTTGGATTTTATCTGCGGCCTTCTGTTGCGTAGCGTATACATAAGGGGTGTACATCTGTCAAGTGTGCTTTCGCCAGTACGTGGGCGACGTATTTTCGATGGTAGTAGTTTATCACCGGAAACATATTGGGGACGAACGGATCGTGGTTGGTTAGCAGTGATATCACACGACCAGAGAATATGGTCCAATTGTGGTAGATGCCTACCTATCTGTGTGTATGTCTTGTCTGGGTGTCTTTCTGTCTTGTCTGGGTGTGTATCTGTCTTGTCTGGGTGTCTGTCTGTCTTGTCTGGGTGTCTGTCTGTCTGTCTGTCTGTCTGTCTGTCTGTCTGTCTGTCTGTCTGTCTGTCTGTCTGTCTGTCTGTCTGTCTGTCTGTCTGTCTGTCTGTCTGTCTGTCTGTCTGTCTGTCTGTGTGTCAGTAATATTAGCATCGACCGCGCTAACCGGCTGGCCAATGAAAAGACGCCAGTCTTAGTGCGGTTGAAAACACAACACACTTCTAAATGCCATGAACTGGGACGGGTCATGGAGGAGACTAAGCATTCTCCGGATAAAAGACAGAAACGGTCTCAACCGAGAAACTCCACGTGTCTAACAAGGCTAACGATGTGGATTTCGAATGTTGACATCTGTTGGTGGCGATATGAATCGCGCCATGGATCGCGCCATGGCTCCGAGGTCTACCGAGTGTCTGGAAGACTTCATGCTTCAATACTGCGTATGTTAATGTCCCTGCCGGTGTGTTATGAAACAAGTCCGCCCAGGTGTCTCCAACCGTCCGGAGATATCCGTCGGATTGCAAGAAAATACTGCAACCGAGAGCAATGCGACTGTCATGTCCGGTTGATTGGGCCGTTCGTTCCTTCTTGTTCCTGAAGACCTCAATATTTCTCCAGGGAAAGACGGAGAAAGGGGGGCACGTTTGATTTCTGAGTTGAGACACATGCCCCATGTGCTCAATCGTGATCGACGCAAACCTGGCGCTAGGTCAGTGAATAACCATCGCAGAATTGACATCTCTTTGTTCCGAGGCACCGAGCTGCAATGTGGCGCTCTCTCTAGCTGTACGTGGCGCAGACGTGCACCCTTGAGGGTCAGGGAAATATTCGTGCTTCCACCACACGGTACGTCGAACCACCTGGGTTGGCACATTTCAGTCCACGTTAGATTTTTCTCTTTCTTCAAGATCAACAACACATCCATAGATATGAATGTTTTTGGAGCGTTTCGCGTGTTGTTTTTTCACCGGCGTGAAAAACAATTGCCGTCTAAGGTGTTGTCGGCACCGCGTTTCCTACAACAATACTCGGCGACTTCGTGTTCATATCGTTGGTTCTCCTTTCCGGTTGGCGTCCCGCTGGGTTGGGCAGGCGGGGGTGTACTCATAGCCGTGCATGCTGCAGTTGTAGATCAATGACCTCACATCCCTACAAAGCCGGGACGGAGAAAGCCGGTTTCTCACGGGACCAGGCTCTGACATCACCAAGCACGAAGAGCCGTGAGGTATTCGGCGGGTCGTAAGGAGGGTGCACTGCATCGTGCCAAGGGTATCTTGTGCTTATTTCCTTACATGAGGATGACAGCTGCCAATGACTTTTTTTGTGTCTGGTGCGTTCACTTCCGGAGACAAATATATAACTGCTGTGCAACTGCTTCAAGGGTGCTTAGCCAGTTCAAAATGACGTGGTGCGATAGTCTCCATTGCGCAGAATGAGGATTCTCGACCCCGCACAACAAAATCTACTCAATCACTACTATGGCGGGCAGGCGGGGTAGGTGTTTCACTCTACGCAGTGTGACGAGCTGCTGCATTCGCGCGGAAGAGCGAGTGAATAGAAAAATAGCAACTGGTGATGCACTGCAAAGATACACACACCCTCATCTGCGTACGTCGACCAGACAAGGTTAGACGGCATTTGACCAAAGACAGCGACATGTTGTGTTCGACGCCTGTGTTTCGGTGCACTAATACAGTGTCTGGGGAGGCCTGTTTTTCACGTTTCTAGCTAGGATAGGAGAGAAGGAGAAGGTTCGAGATGTCCGCCAACGAACCTTAGCTCAGGGAGTCCGTGAAATCGACGCAGGACCCAACATACCTTTGGGCCTTGGTGACTACGTAGGTATCACCGCCATTCACTCTCACCCCTGTCACTGCCATCGCCTTCGGCGTCACCCCGTTTTCCATCCGCTCTTCCTCGCCACGCGTTCTCTTCCTTTCGCGGCCTCGACCATTCGCCGTTGGGTGGCGTTGCGGGTATGATCACCATGCCGTGCCGTGCCGGCCGCTTGAGGGAACGAATGGTTGGCTCTTCTGGGCTGCCTCTGCGAGCGTTTCGTCTGGAGAACGCTGACTCACTGGAACCCCTCCACCTTTCCGGCTGATTACAGCGTCAAACTCGAACCGGCGAATATCTCCTTCGGCGATCTACAACTCCTCAGGGTCGTCTTGCTGACTTCTTTGTGACTGGTCTGTGGAGAGAAAACGTCGTTGCCCGGAAGGCCGATAAGGCTAATTGGTCGGTAGTGTCGCTCTCTCAGAAGGGGTGCTCGGGACAACTCCGGAGAAACCGCGGGTACCCGCGGGTACAGCACGCACACGTCTCCTAAGTTCAGTTCGCACAGGCAGTGATTTTGGTCTCCTGGGTGAAATCCTCCTTTGTTCTGCGGGTGCGTACATATTTCCGCTCTTTTTGAGTGTGGGCGGCGTGATGAGAGGGGGGAAAACTGCAGTATTATGTCTATCTATTTCGAAGTATTTGCTTTGTGGGCCGTGGTAGGCCCTGGCGTCGCCGTCCACCTGTTACCCCATCGTCGGTCCCGCACCCCCGGGAAGAAGAATTGGTCTCATGCGCGGCTGGTGCCCCTGTGCCACCCATATGGACTGATTTTCAAAGCTAGACTACACACGGGAATAGTGGCGATGCCGAAAAAGTACCGTCGGAACTGCCTCGTCAAAAGTTTTCCGAAATCGTATCGTATGATTAGCACTCCTCTTCGTCGTGGAGAAGTCGATCTATGAAAACAGGGGCTGGTGATATCTTGTGTGTAGTGTAACTGATTCATTCATATAAGCACAAGCTTCGATTCCGTGAAATAGTGGAAAGTCCCACCTTTGCACTCGCAGCCCTAGAGCCCTGCCCGAGCTGCACGACCTGCGATTCCTTGGCAGGGGTATATTAGGTCCTACCCAGCTTGTCATCCTACCAGCAACAGCAGCTTGACACATGTTGAGCATAGGGTTGAGCACGATGACAGATGAGCATGTGGGCACCGACGCCAGTGCTCTGATGCCTCTACGGTTACAGTCTGTGAAGCCCCCTATCGTAGATCGCCCCCGATCGTAGATCTCAAGCCCACGGAGCCGAACACACGCCAACTTCACGCCAAGTTTGGAGTGTGGAGGCTCCACTCGGCGCTCTCTCTCTCTCTCTCCGCAATGGCGGCATCTGCACGCATGGTGAGCTCGCGCTCTGGCCCGAAGAAGCACCCAGTCGTAATTGATCTCGGCAGGTGAGATGCTTTGCAGAGGTGTTGGCCTGAACCAACAGCAGCTGCAGCAAAGTGCGGCGTGTCTTGCACGTTTCTTCACGCAGCATCAGCGTGCGGGAAACCTTGAATATCAGGTGGCGCGGGAGACACGGACGATATTGCCCGAGGACCATAGACATATTGTCGGGCGACGAGATGTGTGCCCTTGAGATTTGGTGGGGAGTTGATGCGTCGCCTATGCACACAGCACAGAATCAAGTGCAACGCAACCAAATGTCAAACGGACAGCGCTTGTAGGGAGCATGCGCTGGCCATGGCACGCCCATACTTGCTACCGCATGGTTATGTACGGCTACTATTATAGACCTGTTGCAGTAACACAGGGCTCAACTCGTCGTAGATAGCTTCGTCGTGTTGACAGCAGTTAGCGCGCCGGGTGTGCTCTTGTTGTTACCACCGACACCAGGACTCACGAGCAGCAGGTTACCGATGCAATACACTCGTAATTTAACATACGACACCCCCGTTGACCGATTTTCAAAGCTCGATTTCTCCACGAAGAGGATGCATGAATGAAACGATTCTTTCTCGGAAAGTTCTCGACGAGACGGCCCCAACGCCGCCGGTGTGAGGCACCACCACTCTGCTGTGAGGAGAAATCGAGCTTTTGAAATCGGTCCACGGGTTGTGGTATCTTACGTCGTGGGCATCTACGGCAAAAGTCCTGCTGGTGATTGACGCAACCGGGCAAAGCAAGGTGCAACAATACAGACGCCTTCGAGCCGCACGCTGTTGCAAATCACCCGGAAGACACAAGATCCCTGCTATTTCCTTTCTTCCGCCGACCTCGATCAAGATCTCGGTCCACCCAACCATTTCGGCCTATGCATCATCATATTTTTCAAACGGAAGAGGAGCGTTTTCACCACCTTGATTTTCTAATGACAAGGTAGGTCTCGAAACCTAGGTTGTTGCCGTCAACTCATGGACACGAACTGTAGTAGTTTGTTGAAGTGGTTATGGTTTTCCGAGGTAGCTTGCCGGATGTGTTATGTGTTGTATCTCGACGTCAACATATCGAAGAGGATACAAGTAGTGATGCCGTGCCGAACACGCGTGTTGCCGCCTATGAAAAAATTGCCATATTTTTTTATAAAGTTTCTCTGCGGGGGGCAGTCTTTCCGCGAGGGACTTTAAAGGTATTCTGCGACAACTCTCGCTGTGGTGCTGATTCCAAATCACAAACATCCTCTAGCGTTGCTCACATGTAAGAACGTACACACACCAATTTTTGTCGGGTTTGGATAAGGTTAGGTACCAGGCCAACAGCGTCTAGGTCCGTTACGTGCTTCCATGGCTTGAATTACGATGATATTTTTGGAGGTAGGCTCATGATCGTTCTAGAAGGCTCTCTGCTGACTACTCGAGTTTAGACTTGAATTTGGGCCGACGATCGCCGGCCCACTGCGATCGCTGTAGTGGAGATCCCTAATCGTGCACATCATGCATTCGTTCTATGGTGTTTTATCTCTACCATGGTCAAGTATCGGCCGAATTGGGAGGCCGTAGTGCCCAGGCCACCGCAGGTGAAAATTGTCCCACAAGAGCTGAAAAGGTTGCGCGCAGCAGCAGAGAGCTGGTTCAACGCAGATGTGTTCGTGAGGCATTTCTCGCGTCCAAAGCAAAATCAAAGGGTGAAAACAGCTTTCCGGTGGAGGGGATAACCTGCTTGAGGACCCGTGTACTTTGGTGGCACGGCGAGGTCTGTGTGAGGAGCAGGAGGTGGTGAAAGAACTGGCTCAGCCATGTCCAATCTGGAGCGGGGATGAAACAAAATTCAGCGAAACAAAATTCACCCCGCTGAAACCAGCGGCGTGATTTTTTGTCCGTACTTGATTTCGATTTCCTATAGGCGGCAACACGTGTGCGAACCCGCCCGCCCTCGGAGGCACTGTGACCACAACAAGGGGCTTCGCAGAATCGTAAGAATCCTGAAAGAAACCAACTCGACTTCCCGCATTTTTTTCACACTATCCTATTGCTAAATACCTCCGTAGATGCATAGCCGTTCCTTACTTCCACATGGTTGATATTGCTCAAGCCGCCGCTCCCCCCCCCCACCCCCCGCTCTTTTTACTGGCAAAACATTCACAACGTCAGCGCTTTCATCAGGTGCGGTTTCGCCGGCGAACCGCGGCCGATCCACGTCGTCCCGTCCCCCATCGGCGGCGATGGCGACGGCGAGGACTCGGCGAGGACGGAGCAAGAGTGGGTGGAAGTCCTGACCGGGGTGCTGCAGAGGCTGTACACGGAGAGCCTGCAGTGCCGCCCGAGGGTAAACAAGACCTGTCTACAGTAGAGGTCCCTGTTTAGTGCCGCTGTGTGCCCGGAAAATTCACCGGCAATGTATGCCGGACCAGCACCATTAAGAATGACTTGGAAACCCAGCGAGTACCCGCCGAAAGCACCGGCACTATTGGACCGGAACTAAACTGGGACCTCTACTGGTGGTAATGGTTTAATTGAGGCCTCTACGAGAGTTCGTCGTGGTGTTCGAGCGACCCGTCACGTTTCACTCCGAGGAGGGTCACTGACTCCCCTTGCCAGCGCTGCTGCCCATCCAATCTGTATTTCGCTTCATCGCTCGTCACCGACACCCGGACACTTCTACAGACGTTGCGGTCTCTCGCGTCTGCTCTTTTCCGTCCCCCCTCCTCCTCGCCCGGGCGGCGGGAATGCGTAGCCCTCGGCACCAGCACCCTTTGTCAGAGAGCAGCGCGACGGTAGTGACCAGCACCTCAACGCCACGCGTCCCACTGCTGCTTTGACGAGCTTCTGTACGTACCCTCCGGCCCGTTTGGACATCGTGCTCCCTGCTCGCTGGACGACTATTGCACCGACAGGCCCAACGAAACCGCACCAGATTTTCCTTCCGACCCCCACCCCCCCCCACCCCCTACCCCCCCCCCGTCCCGCCCCCCCGTCCCGCCCTGCGCCGCGCTGTTCTTTGCAAAGGAGAGAAAGGTTGTTGTTTGTGAGAGCATGGTCAGCCCCCGCCCGCTTCGAGAGGCCGTGGCACACGTCCTGTTCCGCTACTTGCAGGTGAAACGCTTGTAGGGGCCCAGGCGATGACTCGAACAAAGATGGAGGGGGTGGGGCGGCAGGTTGTGTAGGGAAGGGACTAGACACAGAAGAGGGAGCCCAGAAAGAAGATAATAGTAAGACACAAAACACAGACGGTGAGATGCACGGCCCTAATATTGGCGAGAGAAACATGTGGTCCAACGCACGGTGTCTCTGGACCGGCTCCGACGTTCCTCGTTTCCCACAGCTGGAAATGCGGGATGGAGCGTTGTCGTTTTCCCCTCTAAATTATGGGTTGGCTCAACCCTGCCGTGGCTGGCTGCTATTTAGTGTGCTTCCTTTGGAGAATTCCCCGTTTGCCTAAGAGGTCGCGCTTGTCTACATATTCATGCCATTCCCCTGCGTGCTCGCTATGATGTAGCATACGTGTGTTCACACCTGTCGCCTGGGGTCCCCCTGGTCAACCAATCGAAAGGTGCCCTCCCTTCACATGTGCGCCGGCCCCGCGCCCGCCCTGTTCTGCACCGGAGTGGACACTGGCATGGTCTTGGACATCGGGCGATCAGAAGCGCACGTTGTTGCTGTTTACAGAGGCGCCACTCTCACAAGCTCGTACGCAGGTAAAGCTGGGGGGGGGGTGTACTCATAGTCGTGCATGCCGTAGTCGTTAGACCATTGACCTCGCATCCCTACAAAGCCGGGGCGGAGCACGCCGGGTTCTCACCGGACCAGGCTCTCACATCACCAAGCGCGAAGCGCCGTGAGGTATTTGGCGAGTCGCATGAAGGGTGAGCTGCATCCTGCTAAGGGTGTTCGGCATCTTGTGCTTACTTCCTTGCGTACGGATGACAGCTACGTATGACTTATTTTATTTTCTGGTGCTTTCACTTCCAGAGACAGTTGTAAGCACTGTGTAACTGCCTCGAGGAAGCTTGACCATTTAAACACAACGTGGTGCGATCATCCCCCGTTGCGCGGAGCGAGGTTTCTCGACCCCGCACAACATGATCTACTCGACTACCATTATGGTTACCGCCAAAAAAAAAAACGAGGTAAAAAAAAAAAAACGGTAGCCTGGTTGCAGAGTTCACGAAGTGAATTGGCTTGTTTTACAACGTCGTTGCCAAGCGACGAAAACCCAATCCCGATGGCAAACACCGAGTGGGGGGCTTGTTTTACAACGTCGTTGCCAAGCGACGAAAACCCAAACCCCGATGGCAAACACCGGGGGGGGCGCGGGGGGTGTACTCATAGTCGTGCATGCCGTAGTCGTTAGACCATTGACCTCGCATCCCTACAAAGCCGGGACGGAGCACGCCGGGTTCTCACCGGACCAGGCTCTCACATCACCAAGCGCGAAGCGCCGTGAGGTATTTGGCGAGTCGCATGAAGGGTGAGCTGCATCCTGCTAAGGGTGTTCGGCATCTTGTGCTTACTTCCTTGCGTACGGATGACAGCTACGTATGACTCAATTTATTTTCTGGTGCTTTCACTTCCAGAGACAGTTGTAAGCACTGTGTAACTGCCTCGAGGATGCTTGACCATTTTAACACAACGTGGTGCGATCATCCCCCCTTGCGCGGAGTGAGGGTTCTCCAGCCCCGCACAACATGATCTACTCGACCACCATTATGGTTACCGCCAAAAAAACGAGGTAAAAAAAAAAAAACGGTAACCTGGTTGCCGATCTCACGAAGTGAATTGACTTGTTTTACAACGTCGTTGCCAAGCGACGAAAACCCAATCCTGATGACAAACACCGAGGGGGGGAGTTCACGAAGTGAATCGGCTTGTTTTACAACGTCGTTGCCAAGCGACGAAAACCCAACCCCGATGACAAACACCGGGGGGCGGGGAGGGGGGGGGTACTCTTATGTTTTGCATGCCTTAGCGGTTAGACCATTGACCACGCGTCCTCGAGAGGACGGAGCATTGTTCCCACAGGACCGATCACCGATGGCCAATCGTTCCTTCCTACTTTGCCAAAGGTGGCTCAAAAATGTCTTCCCTAGTCTATCCTAACGATATCCCTTCCCGCCTTTTCAAACCACTTCCTACTCCCCAGTACAGCTACCGTCCTCTCCTCTCTATTCCATGCCTCAAACATCTCCCTGTGCGTCCCTTGTATTTTTCCCAGCTCAGTCATGTACACTTCCCTCTCCGTATTGTACAGCCGACATTCCTCGACTACATGAACATGGTCTTCGCATTCGAAGCCGCAATCACATTTGAACTTGTCGTCTTCGTCGTCTATCGTCCTATGTCTTCGTCGACGTTCTCGAAGGCCTATGTCCCCGGTCCTGAATTTGACCTTTAAGCTTTGTCCCTGCATCCATTGGTCCATGAAGGTAATCCTTGAACCCTATTCTTTCTTTCAACATTCCGTAAACTTCTAGACCCTCCTTATCCTCGGTTTCTTTCCTTGGATTCTCCCTTCCAAACACCGGGGGGGGGGGGGCTTGTTTTACAACGTCGTTGCCACGCGACGAAAACCCAACCCCGATGGCAAACAGGGGGCGTGGGTGATTAAAACATTGCGAGAATGGGTAGAAAAATGCACAGATCTTCCTCCTGGTTTTGCAGTTGGGGCGGTACTGCTGTAGTGGCAAGAGCTACATGCAGGGTCTCTTCTGCTCTCGAGCCGGGATCTGGAGCCACCATATGGTATTTTCTCTGTCTCCTGAGCGTGGATCTGACCCTCTAGCGTAAGAGTAGGTGCAGTGCATATTGTGTGCGTGTGCACAGCAGGGTTTGGTTCGTGTTGCGGGAGTAGAGCCTCAACTCTCTGCGCGGCCGTTGTCTGTGACCAGAGCGAGCCGTAGTTTGCATCCGAACAACAAACCGGATGCTGGGATCATTGGTAGACCCGTGAGCGGCGGGGCAAGCCGTAATAATTTCGCCCAGAAATGCTGCTGGTGTCTTGGGGGTATTCTGGAGGCCTACGTACCGGGCCAAACGAAGCGTACGTATCACTGCCTCCTGACTCAGAGGGGCCCCGTAGAATGAGATGGTTGGAGAGTCGATACGCACCCCGTTCCGGTCTTGCGAGGCCTTGTGGTGCAAGCGTGGTGCGGAGCAAGCAGCCTGCGAGAGCCACGCGCGGGCGGTCCCTTTCCCGACGACCACGATGCCGTTTTCGTGTTGGCGTTGCGCGTGCCAAGACGGGCAGCAGTCCGGTTTCCCTTTCAACGGCGACCACCCAACGGCACAAAGTATATGGCATCGCGCAAGAGAGAGGTGTCGCGAATGAATACTGGAGTCCCCTCCCCCGTCCTCCCTGCCGATCTCCGCGATCCATCCTCCATTGCGCCCCCTTTTTTCTCTCTCATCCCTGTAAAAATCTCCGCAAACACCCTACGATGACAATGGCAGGGGTACCACTCGGGTGTCGCGCGGTCCAGGAGCGCGTGAGAGAGCTCCTCATCGAGGAAGAGGAGCAAGCGGTGGGGGACGGGGGCGGCGCGAGGCCCCTAACCTCCCGAGAGGTTGAGGACGTGGTGGTGCGGGCGTGCTTGGTGCCTGTTGGAGGTGTACCCTCGCCTGACCAGGTGTGCCTGTCTGCCCACAGTAGCCCACGCAAGTCTTGTTGAGCATGCGAACATGTTGGTGATGGTATAAGAATCAGCTAAATAAGGTGGGGCGAGGTTTAGGGTCTGAGTGTCCCCTGCCTGGTATTTTTTCGCGATAACTTATTTTTCTTTTCGTAGGCAGTTCGTGCCATAGAACATGAGAATGGCACACAACGCGCGATTCGAGCCGTGCGAAGATGAAAAGCGCATGGGGGGGGGGGGGGGTGTACTCATAGTCGTGCATGCCGTAGTCGTTAGACCATTGACCTCGCATCCCTACAAAGCCGGGACGGTGGGGGGGGGGGGTCGTCCTATGTGGGTGTAGCTCGCCAGGGGTTGTGACTGAGAATTGTTTTTTGGAGGATGTCCTGTGGAGAGTTCGCTGTGGCATCGTCGTGGCCAACCCTAAAGCGCGCGAACATCCCACCTAAGAGCGAGATTTTTGCGAAGAACGTCGAGCTCATTCTGCTCCGAACGGACCACCACGATGGTGTTCTTCCCATGTCAGTCATGTCAGTGCAAGTGAATCAATCCTAGGGTAAGGTACACTCGATTACTACCGTCGGTGACGTCAAAGATATCACAAACCCTTTGGATCGACTTTCAAAGCTTGATTACCAACGACAAAGTGGACTTAGAAACCAATCAAGCGATGCATTTTCGGAAAGCTCTCGATGAGATGAGAGATGGTTCCAATGCCGCCGTTCTTGGCACCGCCGCTTTTGCCTCTGTCGAATTTTCGAGCGTTGAAAATCATTCCGGGGGGGGGGTGATATCTCCCGTATCACCTACGGTAGTTTTGCCTCGCACGCGGCGCGGCTGGTTGTCCACGTACGGAACTAGCACCTACTTCAATACAACAGCAGATAAACACGGTGCCCTGATATCACATCAAGCGGTGGTGTTTGGATTAGGATTAGGGCTAGGATTCAAACTGACAAAATAAAAGTCGTACAGTCGCCTAAGCCGCCTCGCTTCCCCGTTGTCGTGACCACCTACTATTTAGTACGGTACCTCTACAGAAGCCGAAATCAAACCGTTCACATTGGCCTAGTCAGCGCACCAACCACCTCGCCGTTCGGTCGCTCGCAGGTGTCGCCCATGGAGTTGATGTTTGCGGGTCAGAGAAGAGTTGTCGTAAGCGGCGCCACCCGCACTACGGCCGCCGAGCAGGCGTTGTTCGAAGGGGACGAAGAGGGACGAAGCCTCGCCACCCTGGTGCTGGACTGCCTCAAGCGGTGAGCATTCTTTTCGTTTTTTTCACAGCGGTGCGCGAGAACCACGATGGTGATCACGTTCTTATCCGATGTCGTGTGTTGGAGGCCTCACGCGATGTCTCGCCGTCGAGATAATTATTTTTTCCAGCGCACGGCAGCGGTGATGACTTCCTTCTTGGAAATCGCGACGATGACGATGTTGACCGCTGACTTGTTTTCGGCGTACACGCGGTCCTCATTGCCAAATGCCAAGCTTGTGAAGTCGGCCGGGGGGGTACGGTACCTTGCGCAGTATCCGGCGGCGTTGGCATGAAGATTCGGTACCTTGTGCACCACGGCCGGCGGTGCTTTTACCGTGCCGGGGGGGCACTGGGTCAGGTAGGCTGCCCCTGGAGGCATCGACCCACAAGCGCAAAGCAGTAGGTTGCACCAATCATGTAGGGTATGTCTCGAAACAATTCCAGCAGTACGCGGGGTACGCCCATTCAGTCCAGCCGGCCCGTGTGGCCAAGAAGAGCTTCACAGGCCGCTTCCTCGCGTTTTGGTCTCTCACTCTCCGTCCACCCCGCGGCCTGTTCCTGATTTTGTCATCCAATGTGTATGACCGTTGTCCTTCCTTCTCTCCCTTTCTCTCTCTCTCTCTCTCTCTCTCTCTCTCTCTCTCTCTCTCTCTCTCTCTCTCTCTCTCTCTCTCTCTCTCTCTCTCTCTCACCCTCTCTCTCGCGCGCTCTCTCTCTTCAACCTCGCCGAAAAACGAACAGGTGTCCAAGGGACTGCCGTAGAGCTCTCGTGCAGAACGTGCTTGTGGCGGGCGGCGGGGCGGTTCTCCCCGGCCTGCCCGCGCGCCTCGCCCAAGAAATCGAAGCTCTCGCCACCGCCGCCGCCGCGCCGCCGCCGCCGCTGGGAAGTTCCGAGGGGTACTCGTGGGCGCGCGCCGCAGTCTGCGGGGACCCCGGAGGCTTGTGCGTGGTGAGGGTACCCGTGCGGCGAGATCACCTGGTCTGGACGGGGGCGTCCATCATGGCTTCGCTTGGGGGCATCGCGGACAGGAGTCTGACGTGCGAGCAGTACCTCGCGCGGCGGGGCGAAGGGGGGGGGCGGTTGTTGCCGGACTGGATGTCGGTTTCGTCCGCGGACTGGCTGTTCGAGGGAGGGGGTGCTGCCGCGGCTGCTGTACACAGCAGCAGGGTTTCCGCTTAGGTTGCGTGTTTTTAGCGGGCATTCGTTCCCTCTCGTTCGTCCACAGGTTTGGCTTTGGCGACGAAAGGTCGGCACGGGGCTGCCCAAGCGAGAACGTTACTTCTGTAGACGCCAGCCACGTACTTGTAGTGTACAGAGGTGTGTTCCTCGAGACCCACTTCCCCGGCACCGAAGCCCTCCCGCCTCTGGCATGTGGCGGTTTTCATCCGTTTCTCTTGCGACGATTTAATTCGGAGTGTGCACGCACGTTTACTAGCGTTCGTTTACGGTTGTAGCCGCAGCAGAAACCCCATTTTTTTTTGGGGGGGGGGACTTCGAAACGAAAAGGCTGCGGGGTGCCCACAACGATATAGCACCTGACGCGCGCACCTCCGGATGACTGTGGTGCGCGACCGGGGGTATCATCCTCATGTACCTCTTCATCATGCGCGGTCACAAAAGAACGTGATAATGGAGCAAGGGCCGTTGTTGTAAATCACACTCACACGCATGCATGTCCTTCGAGAAATTTCTTGACCTGGCTCTTCGGAAAGCACCCCTTGGGTCCCCCACGATTTTGTGGTCATCCCTGGTCTGTGAATGGATGCGGTATGCCCTCATTGGGACGGACGCACATATATGAAAAAAGAGAGAAATAAGAGAGTTATTAGGAACCAGTGGAAACCCCGCCCCGTTGCCCCCTTCAAAAATTTGATTATTGGCTATAACAACGGTTGGTTGTAATCGGGAGAAGGACCACCGAGGAACAACACAACGGCACACACATCGAAACGCGAAAATATTCGTCGAAAAAATCGATCGAGCGGGGCTCAAGCAAGCCAGCCGAACGCCTGCGCGTGTTGCACACACGCTCGCCCGCGCAGCTGTCCCCGCCACTCTCCACCACCACTGGAAAATTCAACCGTACAAAAAGAAGCTATTATATGATCCCCCCACCCACCCACCCACCCATACTCTTCCGCGCAAACCACCCGTAATCCGATGCTCCCTCCCTTCCCAGCCCCGCAACTGCTGGGGGGCCTCCGGTTTCCG